GGTGCTTAAGCATGTAAGCTTGTTTTTCCTCTTCAGTGTGCCAGTTCTGATTACATCGCTAATGAGTTGTGAACCTGTATCTCATTACACTTTTAGGTTTGGTCACTGAATAGGCTTGGCTGTTCATGCCCATACACAAAAAGGCAGTATGTGTCTTCAGTTTTGCTGAATAGCGTTATGGTTGTAAACTCAAGGCAAAATGATAGCATGTAGCCATGGCAACATTTGTGTGTAGGTTTTTAAATATGGAAAAATGCAGGTACTCTTGATTATTGCTCATCATTTTTATCTCTCAACAAAGAAATTTGCATTTAAAGCAACATAAACTTTGAGCAAGAATTGAGGTATGTTCTTATTTGAAAGATGCAGCAAAATCAGGCAGAATTAGGATTTGGATTGTATAAAAAGGATTTCTTTATATTGAACAGAGTACTAAAGGAAGATATTTCTATAGCATGAAATACAGTACAAGAATACAGTTGCCTTGATGTGTTTAATTTATTTCATGAATGCATTCTGGTACATAAAATATTACTGTTATTAATGTTCTGAGCTATTCAAGGTTAAGTGATCTGGGGAGAGAAGCAAAAATAGCTCTGCATATCTTATTTAGATATATTAAAGAGCACAAAATAAAATTTGAAAAATTGAAGTATTACTTCCACAAAACTAAGTAACCAATCATTATATAAATAGCAATCACATGACTTAAATTTAATGGTTTGGGACCAGCAGCATGACCTAAATTTTATAGTCTTCTTCAAATGGATCACTTTAATAAATGCAGTGCAACTATATATACACGTGTGACTGTGAACTCTTGCTAATGCTAATTATATTGCTTTGGAAATAATGGTCACAATAAACTATTAATAATTATAGCCAGAACTGATGTTGTCAGTTGCATATAGTCACGTGACTTTTCACTTTATATTCATAGCATTAACAATGGAGTTTCTTGTCCCAATTGTGCTAAATAAATGGGGACTACCTGTAGTATGCTTGGTCACTGGTAAAGCTACAGTAATGTTAAGCTAACTAGTTACCAAATCTCAAAATTAAACTACTTGTATACTGATCACTGGACACCTTCTTTGGATTGATTAGCCAGTTGTTTTTGGTCATTTGCTGATTCTTATCCCTCCTCAAAACTCATGGTAGCTTGTTGTTCATATTTCCTCATGGTTTTCAAGTAATCTGCATAAAGAGAGTGCAAAAGTTGGGTTTAAACTCTACATTAAAAAAAAACTAAGATCATGGCATCTAGTCACCCCCTGGCAAATAGAAGCAGAAAAAATGGAAATAGTGACATATTTTATTTTTTGAACTCCAAGGTCACTGTAGATGATGACTGCAGCCATGAAATTATAGATAGTCCTCAATTACAGCAATTCATTTAGTGACCGAGCAGCGCAGTGGCCTAGAGGTAGAGCTCTCGCCTCACAATCAGGAGGCTGTGAGTTTGATCCTAGGTAACAGCTGATATTTCTATCTTTGGGCACAATGAGTAATTGTTTGCCGCAAACTCCGCATAGGTGTCAGGAAGGGCATCCAGCCAGTAAACGCTTGAGCTCCATTTTGTCACCCTGACTCCACAAAGGATTACAGGGTCGTTAATAGGAAAAAAAAGGTGACCATTCGAAGTTACAATGGCACTGCAAAAAAAGTCTTATGCCTGTTTTCACACTTACGAAGGGAACGCTGCAACATCCCCATAAATCATGTGATCAAGACTCAGATGCTTGGCAACTGACTCATATTTATGATGATTGCAGTAACTCAGGGTCATGTGATCATCTTTTGCAAGCAAAGCCAATGGAAAAGCCTGATTCACTTAACTGTGTTACTAACTTAACAACTGCAGTGATTCACTTAACAACTGCGGCAAGAAAGGTTGTAAAACGGGGCAATATTCACTTAACAACTATCTCGCTTAGCAAGAGAAGTTTTGGGCTCACTTGTGATCGTAAGTTGAGGACTACCTGTAAAAGACACTGGCTCCTTGGGTGGAAGGCTATGGCAAAACTAGACAGCATATTAAAAAGCAGAGATGCCACTTTGCTGACAAAGGTCGATATAGTCAGAGCTATGGTTTTCCCAGTAATAAGGTATGGCTGTGAGAGTTGGACCATAAGGAAGGCTGAGTGCCAAAAAAAATGATGCTTTCCAATTGTGGTGCTGGAGAAGACTCTTGAGAGTCCCTTGGACTGCAAAGGGATCAAATCAGTCAATCTTGAAGGAAATCAACCCTGACTGGTTTTTGGAAGAACAGATACTGAAGCTGGAGTTCAAATACTTTGGCCACCAAAGGAGAAGAGAAGATTCCTCGGAAAAGACCCTGATACTGGGGAAGATTGAAGGCAAAAGGAGAAGGGAATGGCAGAGGATGACCTGGTTAGATAGTGTCAATGAACATGAATTTAGGCAAACTCCGGGAGATAGTGGAGGATGGGGGAACCGTGAAGAGTTGGACATGACTTAGCGACTGAACACAACATAAACAAGAAGGTGTAATACTAGGCAACACTGAATATGAAAAACATCCTTGCTGTTTTCTGACTGCAAGGAAAGTTTAGAGGGAAGGTGCAAGAAGAGATTTACTATTCTTGTGCTAATAGAAAAGGTTTTGAATGGCCATAATCATGTCTTAAAGTTTAATATCTCAGAATTCTGAATATAAGATAAACTCTGAATCATTATGATGCATATAATTGAGCTATCTAAAATATTATAATCCATTTGGCTTCATATTTTTATCAGATAAGTATTATGAGAAAATAGAATTCATATTTTTAGTTTTGCAGTTTCTGATTTCATGTTAACAGTTAAATCAGTCTTGGAAATGGAGTACTAGAAGGCTTTTACAAAAGCGTTCTGTCTGTATATAAATCAGTGGCCCAGACTCTGTTCTTAAAGAATGACCGCTTTCAGTTGCAGTCTAGCTGGAGAAATTGTGGAATGCCAGCTGCATGGCAAGTAAAAGGAGAAAGATTGTATCTGCTTGCTTGATTAGAGTCAATAATAACAAAAGTAGAATTTTACAAAAGTTCTGAGCAAATTTGAGGAGGGAATCAAATTTGAAAGTTATTAAATATTTTATATCCGTATATATCTTCTATGATATGAATTTAAAACTGTATTGTGGTTATTTCATTATTTAAACAAACATAGAAGCCACACCATTCCAGACAAATGTAGCTAACCTATACTCTAAAAAAATAAAAAATTAAAAAAAGTGGGGGGGGGAATTATGTTTGGGAAAAATAATCCACAACACATCCACCCTACTGCAAGGACTGGGAAAGCAATCAGATTTTAAAAGGATTTTTGGAATGTAAAGTGAAGTAGGAATGGTATGGATCTCTAAAGGAATGCTCTTTTAGTGGACAGGCATCACAACTTTCTCTGTTGTGGTGCCTGACCATGCTGTATAGGCAAAAACTATTGATTGTCCACTCTGAGCTTTACATGGCAATTCCTAAAAATCTAAGGTATCTCAGGGAGATTTCTATTAATTGAAGAAAATATTCAAATCTGAATAAATAGTAATAGAACTTAGACTTATATACCACTTCACAGGGCTTTACAGCCCTCTCTAAGCGGTTTACAGAGTCAGCCTATTGCTCCCCCAACAATCTGGGTCCTCATTTTACCGACCTCGGAAAGATGGAAGGCTGAGTCAACCTTGAGCCGTTCAGAATTGAACTCCTGGAGTGAGCAGTGAATTAGCCTGAAATACTGCGATCTAACTACTGTGCCATCACGGCTCTAAATGTGGAGAAAACTATAAGAATTTCAAAAGTATTTTGCTATTCCTGAGTATCAGGTAGGCTTGAGAAGACTTGATAGTCTTGCAGTCTGAAAGAGAATGCTGTATTATATAATACTGTACGGCCAATTTTGGTGTTAAGATTTCTTTCAATTTACGAGCCTCCCAGAAGATAAATAAATACATGAGTAGTTGAATCTAGAATGATAGGCTTAAGTCATGCCAGTCATTACGTGGGTTGCCATGTGACCACACCTGAGTTTACAATTTTTGTTGTGGCTGTTGTTAAGTGAATCTGGCAGTTGTTAAGCAAATCCATTGTCCTCAGTGGGTATTTTTTTTTTTTTTTGCCAGAAACTGGAAGTAAAGGCCAGTTTCTGGCAAAATGCATCATAAATTGCAGTTACATGACAAATAGCCGTAAATGTGGGCTGGTTGCCAAGCATCCAAAATGTTTTTGGAACTTCTAATCTGGGTCATCTGTAGCCCTGAGGAATCTGACATAACTTTAGTTTAGTGACTGATCATAAGTTGAGAACTACCCTTACATAGACAAGAGCATCAAACTTCTAGTATAACCCCTCTTCTGTTCCTCTTGTAATACACATTATGTTAATATTTGGTTGGCAGAAACTTTCCAGCCTTTTGGGCACAATTCAGTGATGAATTTCCATGATAGATAATGTAGTGATTTCTTCTCATGCAATAGCAGAAAATATTTTCTTGATCGTCCCAGCAATCCCCTCTATGCCTTCAAAATCTGTTTTGGGAGAGTTCTCCAAACTTTAGGTACCAAATGTTTAGTGCAATATGAGCAAGCTTCAAGCTTTTATTTTTATTCTTTTCTATTTCATCATACTTGTTTCTAATGCCAACAGAATTACGAAGTTAACATTTTAACACCAATTAAAATTGCATGTTTCTTAACATTGACACTATAATTGAAGCCAAACTTTGTCTTTTCAAGTGAAATTATGTTTCAGGGAAACTGAATTTTGCAAAAACTTATTCAAAATTGTACTAGAATTACAGGAAAGCCTAACAATTATTCATCATGTTGTGTTCTAAATTGATTCAATGGTGTATCCAGATGAAATTGTGGTTAAAGCATCAGTGTTTATTTAGTTCTTCTCAAAGGTTGTGACATAGTTGAAATGTCTAAATTGCATCATTCTGATGATTAATTAAATACTTGATCTGAATAACAAAACATCTATTCTTTGGCTTCTAGCTCATCATTCTGCTCAGCTCATACCTGACAACTATATTAAAAATGGCTGCTAGTAAGGCAAAAAGTCAAAGCTCTCTTGCCCTTCACAAAGTAATCATGGTTGGTAGTGGAGGCGTTGGCAAATCAGCACTTACACTTCAGTTTATGTATGATGAGGTAAGACATTGGTTGCTTTTCTATTTATAGGTATTAAAATGATGTGCTATATAGGGTCTGTACTAAACTGCTTTTACTGTGCACTGTGGGACATCAATACAAGATCATAAATTTGTAGAGCCTTTTTCAGAAAGAGAAATGATTTTATTTTGTTTTTTCCTGTTGGTAGTTTAGATTAGATCTCATGGTTTTAAATAGAAGAAGCCTTCTAGAATAGTCAGTAAAATAACATCTCTTTGTAACTTTTTATCCTCGAAACTCATTTTTTTTTCTTTTCAAAACCAATATACCACTTCATACATTTACTTTTTTTCTTTAAACTTCTCTCTTCTCTTAAGAATGTAATCATATATAAGAAAGTGGCAGAAATTCTTAAAAGAGCCATTTTCCCATGTACATCGGTTATCCCTGCAGCCTTACTATTTTCAGCATTTTAACAGCATATATTACTCCATTTACTCCATTTTCACCACCATTTACAGCATTCATTTCAATTCTAGCCTTAGATATGTTGTAATTAGATATGTTGTAAAGAGAGAAGCAACCTGGAATTAAGGAGAAACTTTCTAACAGTGAGGACAATTAACCAATGGAACGGTTTGCCTTCAGAAATCGTGGGCGCTCCATCACTGGAGGTTTTTAAGAGGAGACTGGACAGTCAGTTGTCTGAGATAATATAGTTTCTCCTGCTTGAGCAGGGAGCTGGACTAGAAGACCTCCAAGGTACCTTCCAGCTTTCTATTCTATTCTATTCTATTCTATTCTATTCTATTCTATTCTATTCCATTCTACTCCACTCCACTCCACTCCACTCCACTATATACAAAATTGTTCTGCATTGCTTTTATCTGTTTTTTATCTTAACCATTCCTTGCTCTCTTTGGTTACATGCTGTATTTTCAAACTTTTATTCCTGTCAACATACATGCTGTTTCTTTTGTTCTCTTTTGCAGTAGTCATTCTTTGCTGGGCATTTTTCTCATGCATGGTTTTTTTCATTTAAGGCTTCTGCTGTGAATTGTTTTTCATACTTCTCACTACTATTTCATAATTGCTCACACCTAGAGTAATTCCTTATATTCGGTCCAAGGAGGGGTTTTTTCATTCTCTTTCCTTACATTCATTCTATTAGGAGATTAATTGATCTTCTACAATATTTTCCACATAAAGCTCTTATTTCCCCCCTCTCCCTATGTTCTACTTTGTCTCTTATTATTTTTACTTTTCTGGGGATTTTTATGCCCATTTTTTTGAAAATCTATCGTTCACACTGCCAGAAACAATGGCCGGTCTTAAACTGAGAACCTCTTATCCCCTTTATTTACTGATATCAAAGTGGTCATACTTAATTCTTTCATTTTCTGTGTATTCATGTGAATTGACTTAAACTATATATTTGAAGCATGCCTTTTTCTAAGCATATATTTTACCAAAGGATCACCTTTATCATTGTTCATGGGTTTTAGAAAATTCATTTAAAATATTGTACAATTTTTGCAGTTCTTCCCGAGTCTTTTGTTATCAACATTCCCTGGAGTGATAACTATTTACCAGATTGTAACACAATTATCACCAGCCTACAGTTGTATGCATCCGCAACAGTCTAGATGCTTTCAGCGTATGTGTTTTTATATGAATGTCAAAATCATACATTTTACTTATTTTATAATTGCATCTACACTTTCATCTATATCTTTTCATCATCTCCATTCCATCAGTTCAACTATGCCTTCATTCAAAGTTATTGCATCTTTTTCCCTTTTATCCTAGTTCCACAACACAGAACATAGTTGTTTTTCTTTAATTCGTTGCATTAATTCATGCACTTAAATACCATTTACTCCTCTTACAATCAAGTTGTCTTCTACATGCCATGGTTATCAATAGTTGGGGTGCATAAATCTGTCATCCGATGTGGCTTTGATGACTTGAGGCTTTCACATAAGACTTTTCAGAAAGACAGGAAAGGTTATTAGCTGTCTATGCTGCATGCAGCATTCCCTGCTGATAGTAAAGACGCCTACTGATCTAGATCAGTTTTTGACACATTTTGACTAGTATGCCACAAGCACAATGAAACCCAGTTTTTCCCTAAACATTTTCCTGGCGTATGATAGGATTTCTAATATAAAGGCTACCTTGCAGGTCAGTATACTATTTCCAGTATCCCACCACGTGTTGAGTATATACAAATGCTTATTAATAGTAATACTAAATTTTTACCCCATTTTATGGATCATGTTAATATAGCAGAAGCATAACATGTGACTTGCTTGCAATCTTTACCTCTCAAAAAAGAATTGCATAATGCCTAGGATTTTAAAGGTAGGCTTAGAATTGCTTGAACAAATTCTGATGGCAATTTAATAGTGTCATCATGAAGTCATCCGGAAAATGAAGCTTCATTTCAGAATTGTTATTTGCCTTTACTCGCAATAAACAGAAGCAGAATTAATACTTATAATATTTACAAGGGGATTTTTTTTTTAAAAAAAGTAGAGCACATTGTTTTAGACTCTCATATTTTGATCCCTAGATTATTAGTTGAAGCAGATCTTTAACACATAAGGGAAGGAAATATTTTTATTTCGGTGCTATACACACCAGAGCTGCAATAATTGGCATTATTGTTAACTGGATAATCTTCCATAACTTAATTTTATCATCCAAAGGATGCAAGAATCCTATATCTAACTATTGTTTTGTGCTGTCTAGTTTGTTGAAGACTATGAACCAACCAAGGCTGATAGTTACAGAAAAAAAGTTGTTCTAGATGGGGAAGAAGTCCAAATAGATATTCTGGATACAGCTGGGCAGGAAGATTATGCAGCTATTCGAGACAACTATTTCCGGAGTGGAGAAGGTTTTCTCTTAGTTTTCTCCATAACTGAGCACGAATCCTTTACAGCTACAGCAGAATTTAGGTAAATATGATCTCTAGATGTTTTCATCGGACTTTGATTTTTGATTGAATCTACAATGTGGTCCAAAGGAAAGATGTCATTTTTCCTTTTTCCCCAGAAAACATTGTTTTGAGCTTCTGCTAAACTGAACAGGAAAATGCTTAACATATTTGAAGACACAAAGGCTACCAATTAAATGTGGCTGTGTAGTTTGCATTTTTGTAGAGCTGATAGTTTTTACTATTTAATTCTCCCTCTGTTGATATGAACGTGTGCAGTAGCTGTAACTGTACAAAACACAAATTCATTTTATATCAGTATATTAGTTTGTGAGAGCCAGTGTGGAATAGTGGTTAAGGTGCTGGACTGGGAGACCTGAGTTTTGACCTTCCTTAAGGATGGGCCATTTTGTCTCTCAGGCCTACACAGAGAAGTTAAAAGCCTGAACAGTGGGCTTACACGATAAATTAAGGTCTGCAATCTTGGCCTTCATCCTGCTGTTTATTGATTTGGCATAACGGTAATAACAATAGTTGATGCTAATATGGTGCTATGCTTTGCTAATTGTTAGCGTGGTGCTGACTATAATGTGTACATTTCCTACTTAATCTTATGTAAAGTATATTTAAATGTATATATAAATTCAAAATTTTGTGGCTGACAAAGAGTTAGTGGGAGACTAGTATAGCTATTTCAGGCTCATTTGCCCTCATCAGCTAGTCACACCCTTCAGGGATGTACATATGTATATGTGTGTGTATACATACATATATACACACATATACATGTACATGTATATGTATATATGTTTAGATAGATTAGGTAGGTAGGTAGGTAGGTAGGTAGGTAGGTAGGTAGGTAGGTAGGTAGGTAGATAGATAGATAGATAGATAGATAGATAGATAGATAGATAGATAGATAGATAGATAGATAGATAGATAGATAGATAGATAGATAGATAGATAGATAGATAGATACAATAGATTGCATCAGTTACTTGCAGTAAAATATTATACTTTGAATGGAAACCGGAAAAAGGGGGCACATTATCTGGTAGTGGGGACTTGCAACCTATTCTTCTGCTTGACCAGTAAATGTAATATGCAATAATAATAGCATTGCAGTTCCTTTGGCATACCACACTTATTGTTTCTGACATGCATGCATTTTTCACCCTAGCAGGAAATAATAATTAAGGCCATATCTACTGTTTTGTTTTTAATATGCTATACTAGAGAACAGATTCTCCGTGTAAAAGCTGAAGAGGATAAAATCCCATTACTAGTAGTGGGGAACAAATCAGACTTGGAGGACCGCCGACAAGTGCCTGTAGAAGCTGCTCGGAGTAAAGCAGAAGAGTGGGGAGTACAGTATGTAGAGACATCAGCAAAAACAAGAGCAAATGTAGACAAGGTAAAGTAAGAGTTTGTTTTCAGCAGTATTTCAGAAATGAGGCTGTCGGATCACAGTCGACATTTGTTTTAATTACACTTATATTTAAATGTAAGGCAAAATAAGTTGGCACTTTGTGAGTTCTCCACATCTTACGGAAGATCACTATAATAGTTATCAACCACTTCAATTTAATGAAAGAATTTGAGCAAATAGTGACCTAATAAACTAAAGCTGCCTTTTGTAAATAGAAGGATATCTTTGTTGCCAAATTTTCTCTTCAATTATTCCCCAAACTGCAAATTATACATGTTAGCACAATACTGGTAAGCCTCGACTTATGACTATAATTGAGCTCAGAATTATGGTAGTAAATCATCACAATAGTGTGTCAAGACATCATATGACCAGATTTAAAGTTAGGACCACTTTATGGCAACTGTGAAGCAAACGTGGCAAAAGTTCCCAATGGGCACTTTGTTGCTGGAAAATGGAAATAAATGCTAGGAACCACAAAAAATGTACCAAATCCTGGTCACCTGACTGGGGGTTGCTGCAAGTGGCCGTAAAGGAATATTGGTTTCCACGCTCCAAAAATATGATCATATGACCATGGGATATGTGTGCAGCATCATAACTCTGAAAATGGGATTATAAGTAGCTTTGGGAAAGTATGTCACAACTTCAAATGGTCCTTAAGCAACAGGTCGTAAGACTACCTGTATAGCAGAAACTACTCTAGACTTGCTGAAATACTCTTGCAATATGTTAATGAGATAATTGCCATAAATCTTACAGAAACACAATTGGTTCCTTGCAGTTTTGTAAGAATGGATAAAATGTGTTTAATTACAGGTAGTCCTCAAATTCTGAGCAAAAAATAATACTGGCAGAGCCGTCGGTTTGTTTTTCCTTGCTAAAGCTAGCCTTAGCTCCATCGGTGCTAGCAGAGCTATGACTGTTGGTAGAGAGAAAAATAAACCCTCATGGTTTTCTTTGTTTCGCTAAAGCTAGCCTTCGCCGGTCTAATGCTTGTGGAACTAAGTCTCGCTATATTGAGGGAAAGAAAACCGAGAGCTTCTCCAGCATTATTTTTTATTCAGAAAAAAAAAATCCTCTTGTGGGATTGTGCCATGTGGCCTGGCCAACGAAGTGCCTTTTCTGTTGGATTTCCTATTGCCCGCTTAATTTGAGAATCTTGTAAGCATGCTTAGCTCTGAGAAATTATTGAAGTGAGCAGATCCAACTTGTCTTGAATAAATCTTTTATATTTAACATTATATGTGCGGGTTAGATTCCAGCTGAATTTTTCTGAAGCTCTATTAAATTTTGTTTTAATTCCCTAAGAGTTCCTGTGCTTTTTGCACCAAATTCAAATAGTTAAAAGTGGAAAAGTGACTTAGGACAGTTTTTCACACTTAACGACCATTACAGCATCCCCACGGTCACCTGATCAAAATCCGGACGCTTGGCAATTGGTTCATATTTATGAAGGGTATGGTGTTCGGGGTCATGTGATCATCTTTTGTGTCTATCTGACAAGCAAAGTCAACGGGAAAGCCAGATTCACTTAACCGTGTGTCTAACTTAACTGCAGTGATTCATTTAATAATTGTGGCAAGAAAGGTCATAAAATGGGGCAAAGCTCACTTAACAACTGTCTCACGTAACAACAGAAATTTTGGGCTCAGCTGTGGCTATAAGTTGAGGACTAACTGTATAACAAATTTATGATGGTTAAAAATTAGCCATTTAAAATCACCTTTGTGAATAAACAACATGTTTAGGGATTTGTTATCTTTTTTCCTAATATGTTGCATTAATTTAAAACATGCACTATTTCTTCATACAAGCCAGTTTCAAATGCTGATAATGTTGTCTACTTTTCTTTCTTTTTTAGGTATTTTTTGATTTGATGAGAGAAATTAGATCCAAGAAAATGTCAGATAATAAAGACAAGAATGGCAAAAAAAGCAGCAAGAATAAGAAGAGTTTTAAAGAACGATGTTGCTTATTGTGATCTTTAAGAGCTACACTTATAGGTGACAGTACTAACAAGACATTTTACTACTAACAATAGAGGACTGAATTAATAAGAAGAAATCTGAATTCAATACATTTTTTTCAACTCACATTGATATAAGAATTGAAGTTCAGCAGATCCATGTATACCAAGAAGGATGATTCTTGAAAGCAGCTTTCACTGGTAAACAGTAATGCAAGCATTTTTTTCCCCTTTTATCATAAGCAATTTACCTGTTAGTCATATGGTGCACTCTGAATTTACCTCCGGATGCTGCTCCAAGGGCACTCCTCAACAACTCTTCACCACCCTTTTTTTGTTTAAATGGCGTTCCACCAAAGTTGTAGCTGTCTTTTCTTTCTGACTTCATTTTGTGTGCTCTTAAAGGCTTAAGCCTTCAGTGATTTTTTTTTAAAAAAAACCACAAGTTGACAAAATGAGCTATTTCTAGCCTTTAAAATGTATAGTGCTGCTTAAAATAAGTTATGGTGGTGTCAGTTTTGCTGTTTTGCCAACATATTAGATGGACAGTGTAAGGCTTATCTCTAAAAAAAAAAAAACAGAATAGTGAGCATTTCCGTAATGACTATAGTAAATTTCAGAACATTAGTAATTATATTCTGGCAAATTAATACTGTCTTAAATCGGGAGTAAATTAACTAGGCATCTTGATGCAGAGGAGTTTCTAAGATTAACCCAATTTTTCAGTACATTTGTTGAGGATTGTAGTATTTGAAATCCAAGACGTATGAATGACATCAAGCTAGAAGTTTTTGGTTTATTCCATTGAGTAATTCTACCCTTCCTCCCAAAGACTTGGTTTCCTCCCAAAACTTGGACATTTTTACTCATGGTGTTGTGATGGTTTGGAGTCATGTATTGAAGCCATAGTGGTTGCTACATTTGCTCTCAATGTTTAACAGAAGAAGGGGTTTTTTTTTAATGTGAAAGTTCACATTATGTAGTTTCATGAATTGGATACAGCCCTTGTTTTAAAAGTGGGTGGTTAAAAAAAAATCCACCAGTCCTTATCCTGCACTTACTCCATTTGAACTGTGAAAAAAAAATAAGAAACTTGTATAGAAACTAGTAGTTTGTTCGAACCAGAGAAACTTAATGATGTATTATAGTTGGCTTTACTTTCTTTCTCCCATCAGAGTTGTTGGTATCAGCCTAGGTGACGTCAAGACATGAAATTCCACTCCTGAGTGAGCACGCACTAGTGCTTTCCACATTGTGGAGCAGTGGTGGCTAAATTAAAAAGACGGAGATGTGCAATCTTTTCATATATATATCTATATCCAAGTTAATAAGGAGCAGTTGCCAAGAAGTCTGACTCTTGGTTTCCTTGTACAAGAACTTTTTATAATTATTCACTGGATAATGGGATAAAGTTTGTAAAGACAGCTAAATTTATTCAGTTAACAATTGTTTTTCTTTTTTTGTCACTATTTGATCATTAATGGGGTAAATAAAAATGGCATGTGGAAGTATATCATTACACTTTTAAAAAATAGTTCTGGCCAATTCATTAAACCATTCTTTCTCAATTTGGTGCTCTTTTAAACGATAATTTTCTTCATTTCCAAACAGGATGTGAGAGGAACGGTCAAAAAGGATCAAGCTGGAGAAAGTTCTGTTGAGCAAATATACTTTATATAAATGCTCTTATCTGGTCGGTCGTAAAAATAGTTTTTCAGATTATAGAATACTTTCAAAATTCCAAGAATAAGCATGTATCAGGATGCTTTGGAAGATTTAGAACCCGGGTGTCAAACTCAAGCGTGTCATGTAATGTAACTTTTTTTGCCTTTGCAGAGCTGGGGTGGGCATGGTCTGTGTATGATGCATCTGGCCCACAGGCCACTAGTTTGACACCCCCGATTTAGAGTATCTAGCTTAGATCTGGGTATGCTTTAAGAGAGAGGGGGTTTTAAGAATTGGGGTTATGAGACCACATAAAACCAAGTCACATAAATCAATGAGCCAGGATTCTGTCCTTTCACTTGTTATTTTTTCTTTTGTCACACTTTTGAAATTATTGTGTCTATATTGGAGTATATACACTGTTTTCATTTAGTGTATGTGGCATGAAACGGCTTTGATCATTTTCAACAAAAGCTCCGGAAGGCTCCAGAAAAGAGGCCTGTGCATTTCATATGGTCCTATACCCATGACTTGAAAAAGTGATAAAACAGTTGCTTCATAGCTGCTTCAGTTTTTCAGAAATTGAAAAATAAGGGAATAAACAGGTAGCAGTATGAAGAAGAAAAATACAACCATGTCTGGATATTTAGAAAGTTGAAGGTTATGTCTGAGTATAAAGATTAGATTTATCAATTAAGGGTATTTGGAAAAAAATGCTTAATGCTAAAATAGGAAAACTATAAAGGAGTTTTATTTGCTTTATATTGGCATAGTAATAAAACAGTGCTAAATGATATATGAATATAGACTGAAGCAGATATCCAGTTCACATATTGTTACTGTGTGTTAGAGAAGACAGAATGTGACTAGATATGTTTATGGGATCGGGCAAGGCAAATAAAACACCACAAGATTGCTCTTCTGACAAACAAAATATGGACAAGGTTCGGTGTCATTTGTCCTAAATGCAGATCGAGATCTCATAATTTTCAGCTATGGAGCTTTCAATAACAAAGCATTCTTTGGGGATATAGTTTTGACAGGTACTGATTTTATGCAGCATAAAACAATCTGGTACCTGTGGATTTCATCTTAAACAGAGATGGGCAATATGTAACTTTCCAGATGCTGCTGAATGTCAGCTCCAGCAATCATAAACATATATGCTAACAGGAAGGAATACAAAGATGTTGCAGAACCCTCTTTGGAAGATCAAACGTTGCTCAACCCATGGTAGATATTTTATTTTGATGATACATAGAAGCTTTCAGCAATCATGAAGGAAGGTACGGCTTCACAGAAATCTCTAAAATAGGTAAACATAACTTCAATGAGAAACTTGAACAAAAAAAAATGGTATTTTTTTTAAAGGAGATTTATGCAATAAGAAAGTAAGCAAAAAAGATATAATTCATGTATCTCCAATTTCTATTGAACATAATTTAATACTGCATGCCCTTTAGCATGAAGGAACTACAGAAATTTACTGGGGAAAATAACTTGCATAGTTTAGGCATCACTTTAGCGTTTTGTTTTTAATCTTTGTAAGCTGCTCAGAATCACTTGCGTGAGATGCATGGTCATATAAATTTAGGCATACACACAGATTCAGAGTTTAGAATAGAATTTGAAACATCCACATGAGCCTTGCAGTTACAGAATTGTTGTAACTCTTTAGAGAGAGATGCTACTTAATATAAACTTATAAACCACTTCTTTTCATGCTTTGTACAGCCTTAATTGATACTCTAATCCTTTATTCAGTGGAAATTTATTCCTGTGTCAGAACTGCATTGCTGCCTAAATTCATTAAATTAAACTTATTCCCCTGTAATGTTTTAAAAATAGAGCAATTGATTTAGAAGTTGTTTACTTTAAAAGACAGCCTATGAAATCGGTGCTACTTAACATTGTTTAAGAATTAAGCCATGATTTTGCTTGGGTTCTTCGGTTGTTATTGAATTATAATTCCCAGCATCCCTCATCCTTACCTATGCTGCTTTGGTTTGTTGCAAATTCAGATTCTGCATTTCCTAGCATAATTGCTTGACTGCTTATACTCAAGTGTTTAAATGAACTTCTAATAGCAAACGGTGCACATTCTTCAAAGGATTTGAAATCTGATAGCATCAGTGACTGTGTATTCACAACAACTGGGGACAGTAAACATATAGGAAGCTGTCTCACAGTGATTCACATCATTGGATCTAACTAACTCAGTATTAGCCCCTTTGATCAGTAGCAGTTGTCCAAAATTCGTAATTTGACTTTTTCAGTCTCTTGAAATAAGTTGAGTTATGAAATTTGGTATATGTAGTTTGGTTGTTAAGTATATAAATGAATGCATTTTTCTCCTGCTTCTGATTTCTATGTAATCCATTATTGCCTATAAACCGGCTGTTGGGGATCTGGATCTTGAGGAACATAGGACCTATTTCTAAACTATCCATTCTAGGAATGATAGGAGATGAAGTTTACTCATACTTGGAAAATCACAGTCAAACATGTTTGAGCTGTACTTGTAAAAGCATCTGTAGAAATTGGATTCTACATACATGGCAATTAATAAACCATATATGGTCCCATGCGGTCATTTTTGCATTTAATTATTATATAGTTTGAGTTGACTTCTGTGCTTATTTTATAAATATCTTACGGACCAACACCAGTCAGGCAAGTCTAAATAACAAAAAACAGGTTGCGAGCATGACAGTCATTCCACAAAATAGTTGATCAAAACATTTGGGATATTAAAATTTAGCTTTAATTGGGAAATAATTTATAAAAATCCCAAAATTATTTGCTCAGAAATTTTTTAGGAGAGAGAATTCAAAAGTATATATTTTCTTGTAATAAAAGAAAATAAACTCTGAGACATATTAGAGGGAGAAAAAAACTTAACGGATAGCTTATAAACTAACATTAATTACAGTAATTTCTAGTGAACTCTCTCCTTCATTTTAGATCCATTAAATAGACTTGGAGACTATATGTATCTATAGCTGGTTGTGCAAAATGGGAACTGAATAGAAATGAAATGTGAACAAAAAAAATAATCTTTAAACTTTAGGTGTAAAATATTAAATCAAACCTTTTGAAATGTAATCCTCTATAGCAGTGTTTCTCAACCTTGACAATTTTAAGGCATGTGGACTTCAACTCCCAGAATTCCACAGCCAGCATTGCTGGCTATGGAATTCTGGGAGTTGAAGTCCACATGCCTTAAAAATGTTAAGGTTGAGAAACACTGCTCTATAGTTTATACCTTTTCAAAATCCAAATTACAATTCTGTTTTCATTCTCATGCTGATTCATATCATTAAAAAGGAAAACAGCTATTGTGAACAGAATGTAATTTCTGTCAAAGCTCACAAAAATATTATAAAAGCATTCCATTAGAACATTGGAAAATTCAGACTCTTAATTTCTATATATACCTTATACTGACACTTATTAACCTAACTATATTTATAAAGTATATATTATTACAACCTTGCTCCTCCAAAATATTTTCAAGAGTTCCTTGCAACTCTTCTGGTTCACAGATATTATTTTCAATGTTATATGATGTAGCTCTACCAATGATGATTACATTATGTGTAAATGAAGTTACTCTGGTTTATCTGCAAATAATGGTAAAGAAACCCTATTGATATGAAGGTTACTTCAGTATTATTTATGAAATATGGTGTTTTAAGTGTTTGAATTATCTTTTTTCAACTTTTAATGCAAACTGCATTGAAAAAAACAAATCCCGGATGCACACCTGGAAAATGTACATGTTTGGTTCCATATGAGAATGGAATTGAAATGAAAAGTGACACAACAGCATAATAAAATTCTAATTTCTCTTCTGAGAAGGCTTTGTCAGACATCAAAGAGAGTATGGTTTCTTGAAATTACCATAATCCCTTGTCATACAGAAACTAGGGTATTTGGTACTCCAGCTTCTGTGCTAAGAATATGGGGTAGTCATTGGACCTAGCAGCAAAGGCTTTTCAAGAACTTGCTGCACCATTGGTAGATCAGGAATTGGTGGTGGGGTACTGGAGGTCATGAGCAAACATGGAGAATCATGGTGGGCTTCAGAGTCAAAGGCAGCAAAATGCATTGGCGTATGCAGAGGTTTGCATGTGGCTCCTGCCTGTGCTTCTCTAAATTCAACACAGTTGTTTTAGAAAAGTGGTGCAGTTTCGGAGGACAACTGCACAGTCTTTGGAAAACTGGAAAAGCCACATTAATAATACTATGCATTATTCATTCTTACCCTGAATTTTACTGTGCCAGTTTTAGTTAAAGAATTGCGAATAAAAACTTCCTTTTGTTGTGAATCTGCTGTATACCATTACGTAACTCTTAAAAACAAAAGGAAAAGGTACAAAAGTGGCTTGCCACTGCCTTGTTTCAATTTCCTTATAGCCCTGGGATTCCTGGAAGATCTAAGTGTTAATGAGCACAGTTCCTGCTTATTTTCTAACCTCTGCCAAGATAGCCTGGTGCTGCCACCTGCTGAAATATGCCAGCTTGTCTACTAAGGAGGCAGTATAAATAAAGACATTGTCGTAAGGGAGTTACACTTAAGTGCTTGGAGTTTCCTTAAAATCTGTATCGGGGCTAGAATTTAATAGCCAGCGATGGTTGTGGTGTTTTGCAATCATTTCAAGTGAAAATGTTCTTGGGATACAGGAAATGAATGTCATCAGAACATACACATTTACTTCAAGATTGAGTTTCTAGCTAAAGGTTCTGTCTTTATATCATCAGAAGCCATCACTGAAAAGGGAATAAAAGCACTGCAATACAACTGAAGGATCTGAGCACAATGTTCTATATTGTAAATTGCTGGTGCAATTACACTTGTGTGGAAGAACCTTTAGAGATTATAAGCAATTTACTTACAAAA